ATCTGATTTGGGTTTTGGGTCTTATGTTGAGGTCCTTGATCAAGTTGAGTCTTGTGTATGGTGAGAGCTAGGGAGTTCATTTCATTCTTCTCCATGCCCTTATCCAGTTTTACCAGCATCGTTTGTTGAACATGCTATCTTTTTCTCCAGTGTGTATTTTTTTGTTTCCTTTGTCAAAAATCAGATGACTGGAAATGTGTGAATTTAAATCTGGGTTCTCAATTCTATGTAATTGATCAATTTATCTGTTTTTATGCTGATATCATGCTGGCTGTATTGAACAGGAATGGAGAGAATGCACATCCCTGTCTCGTTCCTGAATTTAAGGGGAATGCTTTCAGTTTTTCTCCATTTAGTATGAGGTTGACTGTGATATCGTTGTATATTGCCTTTTTATTTTGAGACATGTCCCTTGTATGCATAGGTTAGCTATGACTGTTATCATGAATGGATATTGGATTATGTCAAAGGCCTTTTCTGCATCTAATGAGATGATCGTGTAGTTTCTGTCCTTGAATCCATTTATGTGGTGGATTACATTTTTTGATTAATGTATGTTGAACTATCCCTGCATCTCTTGGATCATGCCAACTTGATCATGGTGGATTATCTTTTTGATGTGTTCTTTTATTCAGTTTGTGAGAATTTTATTGAGAATTTTTACATCTCTGTTCATCAGAGAAATTGGTGTATAATTTTCTTTTTGGGTGGGGTGTGTTTGCCTAGTTTTAGTAGTAGAGTAACGCTGGCTTCATAGACAGGATTTGGGGGGTGTTTCTTCATTTTCTATTTTGTGAAATAATTTGAATACTATTGCTATTAGTTCTTCTTTGAAGGTTTGGTGGAATTCTGCACTGTGTTCTTCTGGTCTTGGTCTCTTTTTTAGTTGGGATATTTTAAATTATTGTATCTATCTCATTGATTGTTAGGGTTCTGTTTATGTCATTTTGATTTAATTTTAGTAGGCCATACATATGTAGAAAGTTATATATTTCTTTCAGATTTTCTAGTTAATGGAATATAAATTTTGAAAGTATATTCGTAGTGATTTTCTGAATTTCCTCCAGGTCTCTTGTAATGTTTCCCTTTTCATCTCTGAGTTTGTTTATTTGGGTGCTCTCTCTCTCTCTCTCTCTCTCTCTCTCTCTCTCTCTTCCTTTGACTAAAGGTTTTTCGATCTTGTTAATCTTTTTAAAGAACCAACTCTTTATTTATTTATAGGGTTTTTGTATAGTTTTCTTCATTTTTATTTCATTAATATCAGCCTTGATTTTATTTATCTCTTCCCATCTACTCTTTTTAGATGTTGTTTGTTCTTGGTTTTCCAGGGCTTTCAGGTGCATCATTAATTTATTTATATGAGATCTTTCTAATTTTCTTAAATGCTATAAAATTTCCTCTTAGGAGTGCCTTCATTGTGTCCCAAAGGTTTTGGTATGTTGTGTTTTCATTTTTCATTAAATTCTAGGAAAATTTTGATTTTATTCTTGATTTCTCCTGTGATCCAATTTTTATTCTTTGATTTACTTTTTTCATTTTATTTGTATAAGTGTTGTGCCTGCATGTATGTAGGTGTACCCATTTTGTGCAATGCCCAGGGAGGCTAGAAGAGGGCATTGGATCCCCAGGAACTGGAGTTATGCACAGTTGTTAGCTTCCATATGGGTCCAGGGGTCCTCTGCAAGAGCAACCAATGCTCTTAACTGTGGAGCCATCTCTCCAGCCCCACCTGTTAACTTTAAATGGTTACTAGATATTATGAATTTTACTTTGTAGAATGCTATATATTTTTGTATTACTGTAAATATTCTTTTGTTCTGTTTGGGATGCATTTAAGTTATTTGGACTTAAAGTTAGTCAGAAATAGATGTATCCTTTCAGGGTTTTCTGGTTAGATTTGGTAGGCAGGATCAGAGCAATGCAAAATTAGGCCTACTTGTTTCCTACTACTGAGGTAAAGCTTAGTCCTGGAGCCAGTGCCCTGTGAATCATGAGGTTTTCCTGTCTTGCTGCTGGAAGTAGGTATTGTTTCTGGCCCTGTGTTAATGATAGGTAGGCCTTGTGGTTTTTAGTCCTTTCAGGTGCTTCTTTCCCTGGCCTAGATGTTTCATCACAGGCATGCAATGTGCTGATTGGTCCTTTGCTAAATACTCCAGGGAGGCCTTGTGTAGGTCCCTAGATGGCTCTTTTTATGTTTTTATCAGGTACTCTACCTTAAGAACTCTAACTTACCTAAGGTTTGCTCAAATTCTCTGCTCTCTCTCAACTGTGTTTGTAACTCAGTTGTTTTTCTTAATTTTGGTTTTCAACATGTGATTTATTACCATAAAAAGATGTCACTTATGGGGCCGGAGAAATGGCTCAGCAGTTAAGAACACTTGACTGTTCTTGCAGAAGACCTGGGTTAAAATACCAGCACCCACATGGCTGCTAACAACTATCCATAACTCCAGTTCCAGGGGATCCGACAGCCTCATCTGTCCTCTGCGGGCATTGCATGACACGGGTGCACTTACCTACATGCAGGCAATACATACACATAAAATAAAAAAAGTCACTTAATTCATTGCACATCAAAGTGTTAAATTCCATATTTTCCCTTTTGAATTTCTAGAGAATAGTCTATCCCATAGTATGTAAACAGCCAGAGTGGTGGAAATGAGGCAAAGGCAGGTTTGTTTGCTAAGATATTAAGGACACATTTAGTCCATTATGATTTCTTCTTTGGCCTATAAGTTATTTGGATGTATCTATTAAATATTTCACACAGTATTGAGAGTAAAAGGTAATGTTAAGCTCTTATTTAATTTCCTTGAAGTCAAAGATTGTGGTTTATATGATGTGTTTTCTTTTTATCTTACTGAAACTTGCATTACAACCTAGGACATGGTCTTTTCTTGGGGTAAATATTCTGTGTGTTCTTGGAAAGAGTATTTCCAACTGGATATAGAATTGTTCATATGTCAGTTAAATCAAACTTGTTTTATTGACCAGCTTACTTATACATTTACTAATGATTTTTTTTTTGAGGCAGACATCATGTAAGCTAAGCAGGCCTCAAACTTTCTCTGTAGCAGAGAATGACCTTGAATCTCCTGATTCTACTGTTTCTGCCTCCTGAGTGCTGGGATTACAGGTGTGAGGCAGCATGCTGGGGTCTGAACTCAGGGCTTCAGGCATGCTGTTAAAGAATCTCTCAACTGAACTACATGCCTAGTATTAATCGCAGATAGTCTATCATCAAAAAGTATCACCAAAGATGTTTGATGGGTTTCCATCATATATGCAATAAATAATAGTTGTTCATTTTCAAGAATACTTAAGAGTTAAATGGTCCCCAACTTATCTTTGCCTCCATGCTCTTATACCAACAAACATATACTCACGGGGTTGGAGAGATGGCACAGCAATTAAGAGTGCTTGCTGCTTTTCTGAGGAAACATGTTCAGTTTCTAGTATCTACATCAAGCGACCTGTAAAACTGACTCCAGGGGATCCGAAATCCTCTTCTGGTCTTCCTGGGTTGCTACACACATGTGGCATACACACACAGACACACAAGCCCCCCCCATAAATAAAAAAATTACTCAGTTCAATAAGAGAAAATCCACTTTTTCTGTAAAACACTCCCATGTAAATAGCTCCCCACCTTGACTCTAATCTATGTAAGACAGAATTAGGTACTTCTGTAAGTTTTCATATATGTAGTTTACAGTTCTTTGATAACACTTAGTACATGGTACTGTGTTCACATATGTCAATCTTCCCTACTACCTTATAAATTCTGAAAGTCAAGAACCTTGTCTTACTCATCTCTGTGTCTTCAGGGGTTTGCATAATACTTCACAGAGTGGCGCTCGATAAATGTTCATGAAATGAGGGATGCTCTTCTCAAATGAAGTGCTACTGGCAAGAACTGTGAGGAACAGGGAGGAAGGTGGTGGAATCTTCTGAAGCCTATCAGAAAACTCACTGAACTCCAGGAACACAGGAACCAGTCAGAAATGGGGAACTGAGCCTAAACTGGCAATCTTTTATTGCCTATGATAATATTTTAAAACTTTCTATTTTTTAAAGATTTATTTCAAAAGATGGCCATAAATTATGTTTTGAAAATACTAGGATTGAAAATTTGAAACCAAAATATAAAATATTCACATATTCACGTTCAAGTTTATCTTTTTTTTTTGGTCTTTTTGATACAGGGTCTTTCTCTGTAACCCCAGCTGGCCTGGATCTCCCTATGTAGACCAGGCTGGTCTTGAGCTCTCAGAGATCTGCCTGCCTCTGCCTCTGCTGAGATTAAAGGCATGCGTCACCACACACCACCAAGTTTGTGAATCTTTAGAATGTATCTGAAGGACTATTGGAAACCAATGACTGTTGGGAGTGGGAGTGTCAGTCTCTTTCAAGAACGTGACTCTTAGAAGTTTAACCAGGCTCCAGTGAATGGACCTACACTGAAGGATACTTGGGGACAAAAAATAGAGTCTGTAGGCATATATGTGTATACATATGTAATAGAGTACATTAAATTGGGTGTGTAATAATGGGAGGTGTGGATAGGGGGCGGGATCTAAATACCATCAAAATATATTGTATGAAAATCGCAAAAATTCAATAAACACGGGGAAAATAAGCTGACAATCTTCATATACTTTCCCCTTGGCTACAGAGACCAGGACTGAAGAACATTAAAATAAAAGTTGGATGATTGAGGACCTACTTGTTGGAGAGTTTGGCTCAGCAGTTCTAGGCAATTTCTTGACTAAGATGCTTGTTCTGAACGACCCAAACATTTCCCAGAGTCACGAATTCTTTCTTGAAAATTCATTTTAGGGGATGGCTCAAGTGTTGAAGTATGAATGGTGAATAAATCTAATTCTTTTATTTTGTCTTTTTAGCCTGACTCAAGGAGGACATAGTCTAAAGAAAGGTTCTATGGCTGTGTACTTATTTTTGGAATTAGTCATCTTTTTGAAATGATTCTCTTATTTCAGGCAACTCTGATTGCTCTCCTTGTGTGTTTGCTTTGAAGAAAGAAGAGTAGAAGAAAAAGTAGACGACACCATGTCAGAGATTCTAGACCTCTCTTTTCTGTCTGAAATGGAAAGGGACTTGATCCTCAGTGTTCTGCAGAGAGATGAGGAACTCAGAAAAGCAGATGAGAAAAGGATTAGGTAAGAGTCCCAGAAAGAGTATGTACTAGCAGGCTTTCAACCAATGATATCTAAGCTTTTCTGTATCTTCCTTCTCTGACAGAGGTGTGTATATGATTTTACAACTCCATATTGAGTCAAATTGGGCTCTGAGTTTGTTGCTCTCACAGAACCCAATAGTTTTGCTGTCTTTGTCCCAACACTTCCACATTGCTCCATCTAATTTGGACAGGTGCTGAGCTCACTTTTGCTTCTCTTTTGGGTGTTGCAGGAGACTGAAGAATGAGCTACTGGAGATAAAAAGGAAAGGGGCCAAAAGGGGTAGCCAACACTACAGTGATAGAACCTGCGCTCGGTGCCAGGAGAGCCTGGGCCGTTTGGTTCCCAAGAGCAACACTTGTTTGGGTTGTAATCACCTTGTGTGTCGAGATTGCCGTGTTCAGGAAAGCAATGGTTCCTGGAGGTGCAAGGTGTGCGCCAAAGAAATGTGAGTATGGCGTAGTAAAGAAAAGAGCTGAGGTACCTGTAGTATGAATTTCTCTCGTGAGACTTTGTTAGTGGAATGGCAAGAGATTTCATTTATACATCTGCTGTTTTCTTTTATTATTTTCCAGAGAGCTGAAAAAAGCAACTGGAGATTGGTTTTATGACCAGAAAGTAAATCGCTTTGCTTACCGAACAGGCAGTGAGATAATCAGGATGTCCCTGCGCCGGAAACCAGGTACTACCTGTAACTAGAGGCTGTTTCTAGATGGGTATAGACTTAGTGACCATTGACTTGTGTAGGAATCCTATATTCTGACTGGTGGTGGTTTAACTCCATGGGCTCAGCCAGTTTGAGTAAATATAAAAGATTGTATCCTTTCCAGCCACAAGTGGGTCTGTTTTAGTGGAGATACTATGAAAGTTGGTTCACATGCTTGCCTTTGTCACTACCAACCTACCATGTTTTGATTTGTTTTGAAGCAAATAAAAGAGAGACAGTGGGACAGTCCCTCCTTCAGCAGACGCAGATGAGCGATATCTGGCCAGGAAGAAAGATCATTCAGGAGCAACAGAAGGAAGCCAGGTAAGAACCAAGGCATTATTATAATATTTAGGCTACAATATCACTTTAGTTTTTTAAATTATTTTTACATCTCTTTCTAAAATAATATGTATCATTATAGAAAAATGGGAAAATATTGATTGAAATAAAGAAGGAGAAAAACTCAATCCTAACTCCACCAGCCTCATGTAAACATCGACTTTTTGGCACATTTACTTTATTTTTCCTAAGAACAAATTGAAGAATATTAAAAAGAACACATACTCATTATTGAGAATTCAACCAGTAAAATGAAAAGCAACAAGTCATGCAAGCTCTTTTTAATTCAGTTTATACAGTCTAAACACCATTTCAGAGATTTCTATCTGTAGAGGGATGACTGGATGGACAAACTGGAAAAAATGAATTTGGATGATAATGTAATAAATAAAAAATGATTCTGCTTAATTTTACTTAAATTTAACAGAATAAAACACTTAAGTAGAATGAAAGAAATTCTCATCTCCAAAGATATCTTTCTTTATGATAAAAGATAGTAATCATTAACATCTCCCCAAGCTTAGGAGAAAAATATGAAAATCATTTATCAGTTAATCTCTCTTAAGTGTTTCTTCTAATAGCTTTATTGAAACATAATTCACATGCCATATAATTGACCCACATGTGCTGTGCAGTACAATGGTTTTCATATATATACAGAATGGTGCATCCATCACAATTGATTTTACAACATTTTCATCAACTTAAGAAGAAGCTCTTTACTCTTCAGTTATCACCGTCCCCTAATCTCTCTATTCCTCCCCATCCCTGAGCAGTTTCTGATCTAGTTACTGTCTCTGTTTACCTGTCTTAGATATTTCATATAAATGGAATAAAAAAGTATGTGGTCCTTTGTATCATTTAACACAGTGTTTTTATGTTTTATTCATGGAATAGCATGTGTCAATCCTCCATTCCTTTTTATTTCCAAATAGCATTTTAATATATATATATACATATACATACATCATATTTTATTTATTCCTATTTATGGAAATTTGGGTTATTTCTACTTATTTGCCCTTAAGGATAATACTGCTGTGATCATTTTAAGAGTTTATATAAGTAAATGTTTTCATTTCTCTTAGGTAGACACGTAGGGGTGAAGTTAGTGGTTACTTTCAGTGTTAAACATTATCAAGGCCAATGGCAATTGCCTTTATTGTTTTGGGAGACTCTTGGATTCCCCACTGATCAACAATTCAAAAGGACGATTCCCAGGCCTGGCACTTGGGTTTTTGTTAGATAGGCTATGGCTCTTGGGGGAAGCATTATTACCTTGTGTGGTATAACTCCATTCAAAATACACCCCCCCCCACACGCGTGCACACACAATCCTTATATAGATATATATCAGAATATTATTTAGTCATGAAAAACATAGATGGAACTGGGAATCATTATGTTAAGGAAAATTGACCAGGCACAGAAAGACAAGTACCACATTATCTCACTCAAATGAAAATTCTAAAGAACAATTTGATTATATATAAGTCAATAGTAGACCAGTGGTTCTCAGAAGCTAGGGATAGTGGAAGTGTTAATGAATATTTACTAAGTTATACTTAGATCAGTGTAAGAAGTTCTGGTGTGTGACTCTCAATTCACATGATACATGATAATAATATATATTTAAAAAACTAGAATAGTTTTCACCATAAAGAAATGATGATTATGAAAACAAATATCTATGTTTATCTTGATTTAAGCATTATATAATGTGTACATTTACTGAAATACAATGTGGTATCTCATAAATTTGTATAATTTTTATATATCACTTAAAAATTCAAAATATTTTAAAAATAAAATTAATTTAAAAAGAAAGTAATGTGACACATAATATTTCACTCAAAGAGGAATTGCATATATGATAGTGGGCCCACAAAATTATATATAAAGATACTTTATGTTGTTTGCACAAGTTTGAAATTTCCTAGCTGCATTTCTCAGAGTGTAAAGCAACTCATGACTGAAATTAATATTTATTTCTTAAACTAAAGTATAGACAAATGTGAAGAAGAGATAAATTACTTCAAATTGAAGTGAGAAGCCTGTCTAGAAGAATGTACATATACTGCATCAGAAAAACAAAAGTTATAAACCAAACTTCCAAATCCCAGCATAGATGTGGGGAAGTGGATAAGAAATCCCAATCTTGTCTGAGGAACTATTGGCAACTAATGGCTTCTGGAAAGGGAAGAGTCAGTCTTGTTTAAGGAACATTCTTGGGAGAGTGACCATGTGGTGGCACATGCCTTTAATGCCAGCACTCAGGAGGCAGAGGCAGGTGGATTTCTGTGAGTTCAAGGCCAGCCTGGTCTACATAATGAGTTCCAGGCCAGCCTGGGCTACAGGGAGACCCTGTCTCCAAAAGACCAAAAAAAAAAAAGCAACATAGACAATCCTATAGAAAATGAGCAAAAGACTTGAATAGATATTTAATTAAAGATAATATATATAGATGTCAAATAATAATTTGAAACCACTAATTATTAGAAAAAGCAAATAAAAATTACAATAAGTGCCATGTGCCCACTAGAATGGCTAAAATAAGAAAAAATGATTGACTATAGTAGTTGTTGGTAAGGAGGTAGAACAACTGGAATTCTCATTTACTTCTGTAGAATTGTACAGAGGTGCAGGCACTCTGACAAAACAGTTCAGTAGTGTCTTTTAAAAAAAGTTCACTGTACACCTACTGTGTGCTTCAGACTTTTTATTTTGGTCTTTTTGAGACAAGGTCTCCCTGTAGCCCCAGCTGTCCTGGAACTCACTATGTAGACCAGGCTGGCCTTGAACTCACAGAGATCCACCTACCTCTGCCTCCCAAGTGCTGGGATTAAAGGCGTGCATCACCACACCCGGCTGCTTCAAACTTTTTAATTCTAGATATGTAACTCAAGAGAAGTGAAAGCATCTGTTCATCTAAAGACTTATAATGTTCAAAGCAGATTCATTTATTTTTTAACACAGCAAGGGATTATTTTATTGGATTTTTGCAGTGTTGGGACTTGAATTTAGGACCTCACATATGCGAGGCATTGCTCTACTGTTCAGCTATATTCCCAACCCTGGAATTAAAACAATGTTTAAATATGATGCTAGGGAGATTGCTCAGGGGGTAAAGTGCTTGCCAGCCTAATATGAAGATCAGAGTTTGGATCCCTCAACTCCACTTAAAAGTTAGGTGGGAATGGCAGTCTGTCTGTAATCCTAGAATGGAAGGGGTTTAGAGAAAGGCTTCCCAGAGCAAGATGGCTATCCAGATTCAATGAGAAACCCTGTCTCATTATATAAAGTGGAGAGAGATCACACTAATGTTAAGCATGGACTTATATATACGCATACACATATGCATGCACACAGATGTACATGTGAACTCACATACATGCATGTATACCACACACATATACGCAGAAATTATTTAAATATATTTACACATAGAACTAATTACATTTATGAACCTCTAGAGAACCATATTAAAGCAAATTTAAAAACAAACACCCTACAAAACCAAAAGTTGTCATATTAATACAAATTTGATTTGATATGTGATGTTGCTTTGCTGAAATTGCATCTCTGCTTGCTTTTTATCTTTTTTTTTCTTTTTCTTTTTCTTTTTTGTTGACTTGATCTTGTGCAGATAATCATAACTGCAGTGTGTTTATGGATGCAAATGACCATTTCGAGTCCCAAAGACAACAACATTTCACAGTAGTCCTCTCTATCCTCTGGCTCTTACATTCTTTTCTCCATTTTTCTGTGATATTCTCTGAACCTTGGCAATAAAAGTTGATATAGATATCCCATTTAGGGCTGAGCACTCAATAGACCCTTATATGTAGCATTTTGACTAGTTATGAGTCTCTGCAGTAACTTCTAACTACTGCAGAGGGAAACTTCTTCTCATCAAAGTTGAGGGCAGCCCTAATCTATGGGTATGAGCATAAACATTTAGAAGGCAGTTTGATAGTGTGTTATTTAGCAGACAGCAGTATTGGGTTCTTTCCTAGGGCCTGTGACCTCCCAAACCATGGGCTTTCGACAACTACAGTACTAGGCCTAAATTCCTTCCTTTGGAATGGGCCTCAAATTCAAACCAAATGCAATTGATTACCTCTATATACTGTGTGCCACTAGTACATGACTGGGCACATTTTTCCTGGCAGGTTGCTAGTGTAGCATGAAGGGTTGGCGACAGAGATATCATTGATGTATTTCCTCCCAAGGTAGCCTATATAACACCTTCTAGCACTATAAAAGCCACTCAGCAGGAAGTTTTCAGGTCAGTTCCAGCTTCACGTCCTTAAATCAATGCATGTTGTGCTTTCATCAGTAGGTCTTACCACATAGTTCTTGTGGGCAACTAAGAGCAATGTAATAGCTTGTGTCATTTGGGGGGGATGTCTCTATAGCCTCTTTGACCAATAGCTCATAGGGAGATATTCAACATCAGGTACTGAGATTTTCATTTAATAACCCATGTTTTCTGGGGGAATCATTGTCCATCCAAGCAGAGTATATGGGTTCAAACTCCTTTAATCTTTTAATTACATTTTAAAAATTACTTTACAAAGCAGTGAATTTCCATAAGTTTTTTTTTTCTTACATCCTTAGTTTTGGTTAATGCACCCCACCCCTCCTCTTCCTTTCCCCCATCCCTACTTAAACCATTAACTCCCAGTATTACCTCCTCTATCTCCATATCATATGTATTTTATTATCTTCTCCCCTCTTAAGACCTCTTCCCTTCTCCCTCTCACAGGTCTTTTCTAGCTTCCTGAACATTACTGACACACCAAGTTAAGCATACAAATCTAAAAATTCAAAGTTCAGATCCACATATCAGGAAGAACATGCTGTAGTTTTCTTGCTGGAGTTGGGCTATCTCACTTAGTATAATATTTTCCAGTTCTATCCAGTTTCCTGCAAATTGCACAATGTCATATTTCTTTACAGATGAACAAAATTCCGTAGTG